ATCGGTAGTAGCGACGGGCGGTGTGTACAAAGGGCAGGGACTTAGTCAACGCGAGCTTGTGACCCGCGCTTACTGTGAATTCCTCATTGGCGGGGGAAAGTTTCAACCCCCGGTCCCCATCACGAGCAGGGCTCAGCGGGTTTCCTGCGCCTCTCAGCAAAGGGTAGACACACGCTGACTCAGTCAGTGTAGCGCGCGTGCGGCCCCGGACATCTAAGGAACATCTAAGCATCACAGACCTGTTATTTCTCCATCTCGCGTGACTGACGCTCAACTTGTCCATCTAAGAAGTTTGCGGCGGGGGCGCTCCATCTCGCGTGACTGACGCTCCACTTGTCCATCTAAGAAGTTGGCCGCGGGCCGCGGGGGTGGCCGCGCAACTAGTTAGCATGCCAGAGTCTCGTTCGTTATCGGAATTAACCAGACAAATCGCTCCACCAACTAAGAACGGCCATGCACCACCACCCACGGGATCGAGAAAGAGCCCTCCGTCTGTCAATCCTTTCCGTGTCCGGGCCGGGTGAGGTTCCCCGTGTTGAGTCGAATTAAGCCGCAGGCTCCACTCCTGGTGGTGCCCTTCCGTCAATTCCTTTAAGTTTCAGCTTTGCAACCATACTCCCCCCGGAACCCAAAGACTCTGGTTTCCCGGGACCCTGCCTGGCGGGTCATAGGTATAACGCCGCCGGATCGCGGGTCGGCATCGTTTACGGTCGGAACGACGACGGTATCTGATCGTCTTCGAACCTCTTGATTAATGAAAACATTCTTGGCAAATGCTTACGCTTTAGCCCGTCTTGCGCCAGTCCAAGAATTTCACCTCTAGCGGCACAGTACGAATGCCCCCGGTCGTTCCTCTCAATCATGGCCCCGGGTTCAGAGAAAAACCAACAAAATAGAACCGGGGTCCTATTCCATTATTCCTAGCTGTGAGAATTCAGGCAACTGGGGGCCTGCTTTGAACACTGATTTTTGGAGTTTGAATTTCTGAAGGAAGGAAGGAAAGAAGGAAAGCGTAGGTAGGAAGCTAAGATGCAAAGAAGGGAGGAAGGAAGAAAGGGAAGAAGGAAGGCTAGAGGGAAAGGAGGAAAGGAAGGAAGGAAAGAAAGAAGGAAGAGAGGACAGAGGAAGAAGGAAGTACATTAGGAATTTTGTATTTCGTTTTGTTATTAAACGATTTGACCATCTATCGGCTGTCTCATTCCTTGCCTGAGACTACCTATGAGGTGATTTCTTCAATTTTGGTGCTGTGACTATGAGGAGAAGAAATCCTCCAATTGGTGTCGTGCTCACGAACGGGCCAAATCGTTCAACTGGGCCGTGAACCGGATTGATTATACCAATAATCTTTTAACTCGTGCCGTGACCCGTAGAAGTGGATCATTCATCCTAAGCAGTACGTTTTTTTCCATTTCTGGTGCGCGGATCAAAAGAACCTGGAAGTTATTGCTAAAAAGCGCATTGGTGAGGTCACACACTGATGTTGGTCGAGAAGGCCTGGCTCTCAGTCTCCGCTGTAATTCATCCCAAAGGTGTTCTATCGGGTTCAGGTCAGGACTCTGTGCAGGCCAGTCAAGTTCATCCACACCAGACTCTGTCATCCATGTCTTTATGGACCTTGCTTTGTGCACTGGTGCACAGTCATGTTGGAAGAGGAAGGGGCCCGCTCCAAACTGTTCCCACAAGGTTGGGAGCATGGAATTGTCCAAAATGTTTTGGTATCCTGAAGCATTCAAAGTTCCTTTCACTGGAACTAAGGGGCCAAGCCCAGCTCCTGAAAAACAACCCCACACCATAATTCCTCCTCCACCAAATTTCACAGTCGGCACAATGCAGTCTGAAATGTACCGTTCTCCTGGCAACCTCCAAACCCAGACTCGTCCATCAGATTGCCAGATGGAAAAGCGTGATTCATCACTCCAGAGAACGCGTCTCCACTGCTCTAGAGGCCAGTGGCGGCGTGCTTTACACCATTGCATCCGACACTTTGCATTGCACTTGGTGATGTGTGGCTTGGCTGCAGCTGCTTGGCCATGGAAACCCATTCCATGAAGCTCTCTGCGTACTGTACTTGGGCTAATCTGAAGGTCACATGAAGTTTGTAGCTCTGTAGCAATTGACTGTGCAGAAAGTTGGCGACCTCTTTGCACTATGCGCTTCAGCATCCGCTGACCCCTCTCCGTCACTTTACGTGGCCTACCACTTCGTGGCTGAGTTGCTGTTGTTCCCAAACGCTTCCATTTTGTTATAACAGAGCTGCCAGTTGACTGTGGAATATTTAGGAGCGAGAAAATTTCACGACTGGATTTGTTGCACAGGTGGCATCCTATGACAGTTCCACGCTGAAATTCACTGAGCTCTTGAGAGCGGCCCATTTTTTCACAAATGTCTTGTTTCACAGTCTGCATGCCTGAGTGCTTGATTTTATACACCTGTGGCCAGGCCAAGGGATTAGAATGGGTGAGCGAATACTTTTGGTAATATAGTGTAGTTTGGGTCCACAGTGATTTGCTGCAAGCCGGAGCTTATATCATTGTGTCCAACACTGTAGCTTTTAAGTGTGCGTATTAAAACTACGTGACACGGGGTAACCACTGGTTAAGTGACAACGTTGTAATTTCAATCAGGAGTCTGTGTGACTTGGTAATAATTGTGGCAGAAGCTGTAATCCCTTGCGCAACTTATTTCAGAGCCTATTGTAACAATGGCCAGAGAAAGGCTTTGACAACAGTAGGGCTGTCGATTAAACTGTGACTGTAAGTGTTATAGAGGTTTTTGCATTGTCCCAGAGACAGTCAAGTTGTTCTAACGGCAATTATTGATCATTATTGAGTGTTGCATTTTATTTTTCCTTTGTGGAAGTAAAATAGCGAATGCGCTTGACTGTGGGTACGCTGGCCAGAGAAACATAAGAGTTTCGTTTGGTTATGGGCGGACTTTGAAAGACTAAAGTATTAAGACAAGTGCCGTTGTTCTAAAGTTTTTTCCAACTTATAGTTTTTTCCTACCCGAGTTAACTGCGCATGCGTACATCGGCCGACTGTTAAACAAGGTTAGTTTCTTGTATTTTTAATACTTCATATGACCAGTATGCAATGCATCGGTTTGTCAGCCAAATTATTTCATCTTGCCACGTGCATGACATTGTGTCTGAATGCAGTTTGAATAGCTAATACTGCGAATTATGGTCATTTTCATGTAGTCATAAAACGTGCTCATGTAGCCTGCAAACTTATGTGTATGCAATTCAAATGTCTCATAACACTGTGATTTTCCAGCTGTTTTAAAACAGTACCTTCCTAAATTAGCGCAGGGTTTTAAAAAAAACGGAGAAAAAGGCAAATTTGACATAATTTCCTAACCATTTTATGAATTTTGTGTGAAATTATATCAGAGTTGAATTTAATAGAAAAAGGTCAGGTGATCACTGTTGATCTTTCATTCTAAAATATCTTACATTAGATGAATTAGGGCTTAAGGTTAGATAGCAATGCACATAAACATTTTAAACTTCTGTCTATCAAGATTATCAGTCATCCAGGTCATGGTCAAGGTTGAAGAATTCTGTTAGGCAACACGGGGGGCAACTCCTCAGGACAAGACGCAACACCCTAAGACAAAAACTGGTTCATCCCAAAGACAAGACTCCAACAAACAAGCTGGACAATGTGGTTTATGCCATTCAGTGCAGTGAGGAGTGTACCGACCTGTACATTGGAGAGACTAAACAACCACTACACAGGCGCATGGCCCAACACAGGAGGGCCAACTCCTCAGGACAGGACAAAACACACTCCTTCGAGGGCAACAAGCTTTGTCAACCGGGAAAAAACACCACTCAATAGAGGAGGTGGGCTGAGACACACCCTATCACCCACAAGGTATGTGTTACTTTTGAATGGAAATTACTTGACATGGTCTATGGATGTACTTTTGCACTAACAAATATATTGATCATTTTGTCAGGAAGCCATATTTTATCTCAATGCCGTTGTGGCAAGCTCCCTCTTCTAGACGCGGAGAGTACCACTGAAAGTTGATTGGGCAGACATTCGAATGAAACGTCGCCACGGGGGGGCAGCGATCGACTCGAGGTTATCCAGAGTCACCAAAGTGGGGGGGGGCTGTCAGGGTAGGCGACCGGCCCGACACCGGCGAGCGGTCCGCCTCCCCTCGTGGGTTTTGGGTTCTGATAAATGCACGCTTCCCCGGGGGAGGGTCAGCACTCGTCAGCATGTATTTGCTCTGGAATTGCCGCAGTTATCCAAGTAACGGAGGAGCGATCAAATGGACCAGAACTGATTTAATGAGCCATTCGCAGTGTAACTGTACCGGCCGTGTGTACTAAGACTTGCATGGCATTAATCTTTGAGACAAGCATATGCTACTGGCAGGATCAACCAGGTAACCTCCCCAGAGCGAAGCAGGTCTGCAATGACAAACTTCTTTTGTAAAGAACTGAAGAAGCCTCTTGGATGAGAGGTGAAACGTCTTCTTTTAGAAAATTCACATCCAGTTGCCTAACAGAACTTTTCAACCTTCTTTTGTAAAGAATTTTAACTTTAAATGTCACTTTTTCATATTTTTAGCACATAAAAAATATCTTTTTCTTTATAGTCTTGGTTTTGTGACTTACCAATCAGTGCCCTCGGCCAGGTAGCGGGGCTGCTGCACCACAGGCTGAGGAGGGACATGAAGAGGAGGAGCAAACTCGTAGCCAGGCTGCAATCTGTGGGGCTGGTGAGGAACTCTTTCTGGAGTGCGTCTACTGAAACAACGAACCAGGCTTTTGAAAAATTGATCCATATGGCCTTGCAAAGCCATCATGTCTAACAAAGACATTTTTAAATTTGGTATGAGAGAAAAAATAAATAAATCAACATCATATCCAGACCAAATACTAGCACTGCGAATGGTGTTGGAGATGCTGTTTGAGCTGCTAAGCTAAGAAGCTAAGCTAGAAAAGTCTTTGATCCTTTAAAGTGAAATACTTACAAAGCTTACAAAAATATGCAAGACAGCAGTTGTTTTCAATGTTTCTGTGCCTGGAAATGGGAGGAAATGTGACTGGGCTAGTGTGGCTAAAGCTAACATAGTTCCCCTCATTCTAACTTTGTATGTTATTGTATGTAAGTAAATTTAAAGCCTAAACTAAAACAAACCCAAAAATCAAAAGTAGCAAATCATAACTACACTTAATTTACACCTGGCACCGAAATAGCAGTTAGCATTGGATAGAGAAGGTTTTATTATGGCGGGCTAATGTACACAAGTCAATTTGTCATTTTAGCCCATTAGAGTATTAGAGCTCATCATTGTAGTTAATTATTTATTCTAACGTCAAGTGGTTCCACTGTTTAACTCTTTGCTTTTTTTACTAACCTGTTTTTATTTGTATTTTACACATATTAACCACCTACTAATGTCTAGTATTTATAACTGTGAATTGTAAATAGACCAAATCTATACAAACTACTTGAAATAAACTTTCTAGGTTTAACTTTCAGTGTTTTTATGTTACTTTGCTCCTAATCTTCGTCAGGTTTCTTTTTCGCTCAGTGAGGCTAAACTGCTAAAATAAATGTTAAATAAAAAAAAATGGTATAGGGAATTCTGAACACAGCATAAAATGCCTTCCTATCAGCCCTTGGCTTCACGTACCATAGCTTATGCTGCCAGTTGACAACTACATTTATACCTGGAGGGTGGCAGGATGTGTCTGTGCTGGGCTTCGAGGATCTGCTGCTGGAGGAGGTATTGCTGGTGTAAAGTCTGAGGTAGGAAGGGAGGGACAGGGATGTCCTGAAACTGGGGAGTGGGAATGGGATTGAGGGGTGGGTGGAGCAGAGGGCCATGCTGGTGACCAGGGGGTGCCAAGTGGGGGTTAATGCCTGACTGTGGCTGCCCTGGGTGGGGCATTGGGAAGTCCATGGGCAACGGGGCCTGGGGACCTAAATGGAAGTTCCGGCAAGATGTAGCATGGCTGTGCTGCTGTTGCCGGTTGAAATGGGATCCTGCGGAGCATAAGGAGAAGCTGTCAGGAGCCTGATGGAGATTAGCTGGAATTAATTCTGGGTGAAATGGGGTGTCATTGTGTGTGTGTGATATAGCATGTAAATGAAGCCCTACCTCTTACCTAGGGTGAAAAACACTTCTGTAGGGTGGGGAAATGATGGTTACCACTAGCACCATGAACATGACAACCACGTGCATTCAGTCCTGGCCACAAAATGTGTGCATTCAGTTTTAAATAGTATTCCAAACTTCTGCTTTGACTCCTGGTCTTCTGATTCACAGACAAGTGAATTATATGGTCTCCCTTGCAGCTGAGTTCTTGTAAATTCATGTGCACTCATGCAAGTAAACATTCAGTACCAGGTATAAAATATATTGTACATCCCGGTTTGATGCCAACTCCATCCATCCATCCATTTTCATCCGCTTATCCGTTACCGGGTCGCAGGGGCAGCAGTCGCCACCCAAATCACATTGCACCGTACCAAACCTTCCTGTGGGTGGTGAGTCCACTGGAAGGTACCAACCGCCCTAACCAGGATTCGAACTTGCCCAGGAGGTGAAGCCTGGGGTTCCACACCAATGACAGAGACATTGCCTCTGGGCCAAAGCGCCACTATGCCAACTCTTTATATGTATATATATTTGTTTTGTTCTTACTCACTCACACACACACGTTCTTCCTCTATATGAACATTGAGAAGCTGGGAGGAAATAGCTAGAAATGCTTCTTTTTTCTTCTTCTTTCCAACCACAGCTATTTAGCTGTGAACAGACTGATGTCAAGAATTAACATAGGGTAAAAGGCAGGCTTGTTTGTGCTTTGGTGCAATCTGGTATTAATGCTGTGCTTTGCTTGAAAGACTTTTTTGATTATGGAAAGATTGAGACACTGCAGCAACAAATGTAGCTTTGATTAGATCCTTTAGGAAATCCTGGCCAACAATTTCACAGAAGGCCTGCAGTGGAGCAGAGCTTCTAGTAGAGTTATATTATGTTCCTCTTGGAAGAAAATGAATCAGTGATTTTTTTTTTTTTTTTTTTTTGAGGCAGAGAAAGAAAATCTGCCAGGTATGAGATTAACACTGTGCCGTTTTTACAGGAGAGCTGCAACATTCCTGTACAGTTTTCACTTAATCTGCTGTGACAGTTTCAAATACATGGCATCAGTTTTCTTTGTTCAAAACAATCATGTGGAAATAGGCAAAGTCTACATTGCATTTACTGAGGAGTACGCTTGAGAAAGGCAGTGGTTTAGAAAGAAAAAAGTGGTTTGGAAGAAAAAAAAGAGAAAAAGGATTAGACATATGTTACAGTGGTTTTCTTTTGTTTGTTTTTTAGTGTGAGAGGTCAGTGTAGCCAGACAGACAACAGATGACTTTACTCCTGTGGGTTAAAGCCTCAAGTCTAGAGGTTTTTCTTTTTTTTTTGTTTAAAAATAAATAAATAAATTACACACTGCATTTTCAAGCATCTCAGTGAAAACGATCACCATGAATGACAGCAGATAGACTCAGTCAGGCCCTGTGATGGAGGAAGCGTGGAAATCGTCTATCTTTGTCACAGTGGGAGAGGAGGTGGGTGGAAGTGGAGGGGGACAGGTAGGGACAAGGAGGGAGGACAATAAATGGAAATCAGCAAGAAGCACACTGAAGGTTAGGAAAAACACTATATTCTTTATTGAAAAAAATATTAGTATATGTGAATTTTGTGTTTCGTTGTCTCTCCTTTGTTTGTAATAATAGTATAACTCCATGCAATAGAAAATAAACAACATAGACTGAAGGCAAGGCCCACCATGCTCCATATAGGGTTAAAAAAGAACAAAAGCAGCATCCAATGAGCAGACGTGTTGGCTACAGCACATGATTCCAGTACAGCAGGGTACATCTTCACTACAGAAAGATTACATTCAATTTCCACTAGTCAATGTAGAAAAACAAAAAACAAAATAATTATGAATCATAAATGTGAACATGCATTAAAAGTACTATTACCAGAACAAAAGGTAAAGAGAGACCACAACCAAACAATAAAAGACATTTGTTACTAATAGAGGATCTCTTTAGCAGTGCAGGAAAATAGGCATCCCTGTGAAATGGATAGCATTTTGGCCTTATGTTAGTGGGAGAAACTAAGTTAGTGATGAACCACCAGTCAGCATTGTTTTAATCGTTTAAAAGGTTTGATTTCATTGGCACATTAGGTCGCAAAAAAGCCCTGGAAATTCAGTGTGTTTCAAAGCTTGGAATTTTGCAAAAGGGAACAAAAAGGATTACATGAAAAATGGAGACAGTTATGGCAGGTTGTTGTGTGTAGGTGCAGTGTACTTTCTTTACTTATTCGCTTGACTTTTCGAGAGATTAGGGCATTTGCATAAACGCCGAGTTGGAAAACAGGCACGCGTGTGGTACCAAAGTGCATGCCGGGGTTTATTTTTGGTTTTGAATCACTGGTCAATGAAATCACATTAATTGCACCTCATGTAAAGAAAAAGGAGGATGAGCCAAATTGTGGTGTTCAACAATGCAGTGCTTGCAGAAGCTAAAAATGTTAAGAACTGAGTGCTACAGCATTTTGACAGGAAAAATAGACAAAAAAAGGTGCTGTGGTCTAGGTGTTAGCTATTGTTTAAGCTGAACATGGAAGAGTCTATGTCTGAACACATCTCCGGAGAAAGGGGAGGGTGCTTTATTTAATACCAATGTCGTCTTCTTATGGAAAGAGGAAATGAAGAAGGGATTCACAATACAGCTAAATGCAGAGAACAGGCAGAGGCCACACCACACAGCAGCAGATGATCATTAGCTACACAATGGGGGGGGAGGGAAACACAAAGATCTGATAAATACAGAATGTAGAGCCAGCCTCCATACTATGGAACAGGGACATAAGAATGGAACAGGGAAATAAGAACAGAAATAAAAGCACAATGAAATCACTGATGCCACTGTTGTCAAATTAATGTCACACTGTAGCTTCATCATTGTTCGGCTGTGACCGCATGTGCTCCACTCTCATGTGCTATTCGCCCGCATCAGACACACAGCTGCTGAATTGCCAATTAGCAAATAAAGCACAAAGAATGAACAAGGGGTTTGTTATCAAGCCGATCGGAAACCCACGCTCCTAATAAACACGTATCGACGAGCGGGCAATTTACACAGATAGTGATAACAGTAGTTGTTGTGGAGTCGGTGGTGAGCAGAAGCAGCAGATGATCTGTAAATGACATCATCAATGCTCACACATGCTGAATAGCTGGAGAGGCTACGTCTATTTTGCGGTATTTCTGCAGCGCAAACGCCTGCAGGGGGTTGCGCTTCATGACAATGCATCGTAATGTGGTTCCCGAATTCAAGTAATAAAATATATTACGCAGTCACAGCGAGTGTCTACCTGAGTCTGGACGGCACGTCCACTGCGTGTGGAATTATTTTGTGAAGAATGGTACCGTTCCTGGACCTAGACCGAGCCCAGCAGCCAGTTAGCTTACATTTAACGGCGGCTGTTTTGACTTTTAATTAGACGCTTTAACGATCGGAAAACATAACGCGATGTGGTTTACATGAACCTGAAACAAATCAGAGTAGCGTCACATTTGCGAATCATTCAACGTTGAAATTTTAATTAAAAAAAAGCTAACGCGAGTTAAGCAGAAGGCTAAGCTCAGACTAGCTGATCGACAGCTGCAGTGAATATTAAAATAAACAGGGCACATGTTTTGGGGATTGGTGTGAATGTTAATCATAATGTCGTACCTCTGTTTCTTACTGAGCTGAACACGGGAAGAACCAGGTACCCCACATGCACTAACACCATCCTGGGATCCGTATCTTATGATTCCGCTGGGTTCTTAGGAGAGCTGGAGTAATCGTAGCGGATCTACATTCAGGCGGCTGGTTGTTGCTGGCTGGCTGGCAACGCGCGCCACTGGCAAAGCGAACGCATCGACTGTCTGATTTTGGCTGCCTGTAGTTGACAAAAGCCGACATGTCATTGAGTGTACCGTCCAGTCGAGGGCGTTGTTGAGCCGCTTTAAACGTCCAACAGACAGTCTGTAAGTCAACATCGGTAAATAAATAGTAAAATGGATGACATTGAATGACATTTAGACCTTGAGTATAAATAAAACACTGGTAATATTTTAAATGGTGAATTACTTAATAGAATGTATTTTTGAAGAGCAGCCTTTCCAATTGCCGTAACTGATATTAACACATATGAAGGATATAGTCATATGAAGTTCTGTATTTATTTTGAGATTCTATTTGTAAACATAAAGCATGTAGCTCCCTTGGTTGCCCTATAGGGGTTGTTTAGAACACATTTGGAGAGCTGATTTTTTACTAAGTTATTGTTTCATGTAATTCCAACCAAATAAATATTACAAGCAAATTTTACATCTTGGAGTAAAAGTGTTTGTCCAACAGAGTCCAAGCTTCATTGTTTTGTAAAGCTTTGCAAAACATTTGCATTTTGTACAACAATTTGTGTACCATGTTGTGGTAAGGTTTTACCACCCCGGATTCGTTGATCAAGAACTTTCACAAAGTATAAAGAAAAGACAAAAGTCGTTGCTCGAGTTCGCCTGTGCACAGGGAGGATCCAGCGGCGAGTCAGGGGGTCGACTGCTGAATTCTGCTCTCTCCACAAACTCAGGCTCGTTTTATTGACACACATATCCAGGGGTGGTACATATCAAGCAATACAGACTTCATTTGTTCTGCACACAGTCATACATTCTTTTTGGCAACTGCATCTACACCGTTAGTTTCTCATCCTGTTCTTATCGCGCCCAGGTGCTGTTGTTGGGGCCTTGTGTTCTAACTATGAATCCAGCCATTGTCAAATTGTATTCTAAAAGTTTGTTTCCCACCACACCAAGTACTCCTCTTTTCACAACCAACCTTGGTTTTATCTCAACCTCGCAGCTCCTTCTCTACATCTGCATGTTTTCAGTTCTAGCTTTAAGCAGCATTTTATGTTCAAGCTGGTTATATGTTTAAGCACATCTCTTATGATTATTTATTCTATTATAAAACATGATTATATATGTTGCATACTTCTATAAACTATGAACACATGAATATATTTTATCCACAATTCCCCCTTTTGAACTCTCTTCAGAGTTCAACATTACCATAGAAGTATGCTTCTAGATTTTCGAGCTGATAGTGTTCGAGCTCCTCGGGTTCCGTGGCTATGTTATATATTACAACTCTGAGTGGGGAGATCGCAGTAGAACCATAGAATTGCATAAACGATGATTATTAGTGAAAATATGAATAAGGCCTCATACTTAAGCGGTAGCATGAATATGGTTTTGCGTTCTTATATTCTTTAAAAGCGCGTTGTCCCTGTGATAGCTAGTTTACACAAGGCCCATGCAAAAATGACAAGAAAAATAAACCAGCATGCAATACACAATGTTAATTTGATAAGGTTCATCTGGGAGATGTCTTCTTTCTTGAGGTGGTAGCTTGGCACGCTACATGTAGGAGAGGAGCGCTATTTCACCTCCTCCCGGATGGAGTTCTTCTCTTCGGACTCCAGGGGTGGACTACCCTGGAGTCTTGGATCACTACCAGGGGATTATTCTGCCCCTTTGTCGGTAGGATCTGTCTCCGAGTCAGCCGACTCGGTGTTCTGTTCTTGGAGGTTTCTCTGAATGTCGATCAGGGAGCGTTGTGGTTCCTCAGCTGCTGCACACTGGCTCCAATGAAACCAAGTGTCTCCTTTTCCTTTCAGGCGTACTGCGTGGGTTGTTCTTTCAGTTACCTGGAATGGACCTGTCCAGCGTGGTTCCGACCACTTTCTTTTGATGACTCGGAGCAGAACCCACTCTGCCTCTGGAGGTGTTGTGCCTTTTCCTGCGGTCTGCTGGTCCTTCACCTGTTTTGAAAATGTAGACACCAAACCCTGCAGTTCGTGGAAATAAGCTTTAGAAGTTAGATCTTGATCATCATTTTGGGTGAGAGGGAGTTTGGAGTGTGGGCCGGGAAACGCTCTCCCTGTTTGTAACTCATGTGGTGTGAACCCTGTGGAGTGGTTGACTGAACTTCTTATTGACATTAAGGCTAACGGTAGGGCGTCTAGCCAATTCATTTTGGTCTGTGCACAGATTTTAGCCAATTTGTTTTTTACCGTTTGATTCATTCTTTCAACTTTGCCCTGTGACTGAGGATGATAGACTGTACCAAAAGAGTGTTTTAGTCCCAACATCGCCTCCACCTGTTGGAGGTCATTGTTCTTAAAATGAGTCCCGTTGTCTGATCTTACTTTTTCTGGGAATCCATACCTTGGTATATAGTGGTTTACCAGGAATTTTATTACCGACTTACCATCCTCTTTCTTCGTAGGCCAGGCTTCTGGCCACCCTGTGTACGCATCTACACACATCAAAACGTACCTGTACCCTCGAACCGAATCTACCATGTCTGTGTAGTCAATGATGATCTCTTTTCCTGGTTTTGTTTCCAATGGATACCTTCCTGGTTCTGGTCTGATGGTAGGTCTGGTGTTAAATTTGGTACATTGTTCACATGTCTTAGTCAGGTACTGAGCCATGTCTTTGAGAAAAGGGTGCCACCAATGGTCAAGATTTCTTAGCATTTGTGCTACCCCTACATGTCCTACCCCATGTGCCTCTTCCATTGCTGTTTGTCTTAGTCCTGGGGGTAGGATAGGCCTACCATCAGGTCCTCTCCAAAGTCCGTCCGTCTCAGTGGCTCCCCTTGCTTTCCACAGAGTTTTCTCTTGTGGAGACGCTTTGTTTTGTAACTGGATCAGTCCGTCCATAGTCATTGTAGGTTGCATTTCGGTCTCTGAACACATGAGTATCATTCTGTCTAGGTACCCTGCCGTCTGTTTCGCTGCTTGGTCGGCTGCGTTGTTTCCCTTTGTCACTTTGTCTGTCCCTGTGTCATGTCCTTTACATTTTATGACTGCTACTCTCTTTGGTAGTAGTAATGCTTCTGCTAGTTCTTTCATCTCAGTCTCATGTCTAATGGGTTTGTTACCTGCCGTCAGAAATCCAACTCTCATCCATTGCCCTAATTCAACATGCACTGCTCCTACTGCATATGCTGAGTCTGTGTAAATGTTCACTTCCTGTCCTTTCCCTATCTTGAGGGCCTCAATTACTGCCACCACTTCTGCTCTTTGTGCTGATTGCTGTCCCCCTAGTCTCTCTGCTTTCTGTGTTACCAATAGTCCATCCTTTTCTTCCACTACTGCATACGCTGCCCTGAGACCATCTGTCTCATGTCTGAAACAGCATCCATCAGTAAATAAGTCTCTCGCTCCTGCAATCGGTGTGGCCTGTAAGTCTGTTCTCACCTTCTCTTCTTTCACCACTCTGTCTGCACACGTGTGTGGCTCCCCTGTCCCTATGTGATCCGCCATATTGATGCCTTCATGTGTAAATGAGATGTTTGGTGCTTCCAGAATCTTGCTCAGTCTTCTCTGTCTCAATGTTGTAAGTGTGAAAGTTTCTGAATTTACGTAAGCCACCACACTATGTGTTGTCAGAATGTTTAGTTGGTGTCCCATTACAATGTGTGCAGTTTTTTGTATTAGCTTTGCTATCCCTGCTGCATGTTGTGTGCACTGTGGGTGTCGTTTTTCCATACCATCTAGCATTACGCTTAGGTACATCAGTATTACTCTCTCTCCCCCTTTTCTCTGGAACAGAATGCCATTAACGCATGATACTGTTCCAGAGACATCCAGGTAGAAAGGCAAATGGTAGTTTGGTGTTGCTAATTCTGCAGCAGTAGCCAATGATTGTTTTAATGTGATAAAAGCAGTTTCTGCATCTTGTGTCCATTCAAGTTTGGCTGTGAGATTTCGCATGCCCTGTTGTCTGACCAGTTCGCGCAAAGGCTGGGTCAATCCTGTGTAGTTTGCTACATAATTACGGCTGTAGCCTGTTAGTCCAAGAAATGAGAGCATGTCTTTAACTTTAACAGGTTTGTTGTGATGTAAGATCGCAGATCTGTGTGTTGGAGACATACTGACCCCCTTTTGGGATATCAGACGTCCTAAGAATGAGACCTGCTTCCTGGCTACCTGTAGCTTGACCTTGCTGACCTTAAAGCCCTTGTTCGCCACATGTTGAAGCACTGAGTGAGTCGCCGCTAGACACGCGTCTGCAGTGGGTGCCGCAATCAGTAAATCGTCTACATACTGTACAAGAGTCGTGTTTTCAGGAAGTGTGCAGTCGCTTAACACCTGCTTCAGGACTTGGTTAAATAATCCTGGGGAGAGAGCAAAACCTTGTGGCAGTCTGGTGTATCTTAGTTGTTGTCCTCTAAACGTAAATGAAAATATGTCCCTACATTCTGGAGCCAGGGGCAGACAGAAGAATGCATTTGCTAAATCAATGCACGTGAACCAACTTTGGGAGGGGTCGAGGTTGGCCAGGGCAACATAAGGATTCGGGACTGGTACAGTTGGGGTGACCAGGATATTATTAATGGCCCTGAGATCATGTGCCATGCGGTATTTACCTGTCCCTTTCTTCTCTACAGGTAAGATGGGAGTGTTCCAGGCTGAATGTGAGGGTTCCAACACCCCCTTTTCCAATAAGCCTGTGATTGTGTCATGTATCCCCGCTTCTGCCTGAGGTTTGTGTGGATATTGTCGGATCCATATTGGAGTGTCTGTGTTGACTGAAAATTTTACAGGTGGGCAATCAGTGAGACCCACATCTGTCGGATCGTCTGCCCATAAATGGTCAGGTAAAGTGTTAAGCATAGCTTTAGCTCCCTCATGATCTGTTTTCTCTCTCCCATGATGTCGAGCGATTTGTTCATGTTCTAGGGTGGCTGTGTTAACAGCACACAACATGATTCTATAGGTGTTGGTGGTGGGTGAGAAATGAACTTGAGGTATTTGTGTTAATTGCCAATCAGTTTGTGCCAATGCTCTTTTCACCATGCCTCCTAATTCTTTAGCCTGATGTCGTGGATGTAAAGCTAAAGAAACATGTGGAGCTGCTTCATCGCCCATCATGTACCAATCCAATTGATCAGGAGTCAGGTCTACACCGGCTGCAACACCCTCCGGAGCCACATAAATGTTTTGTGTTTTAATTTCCCACGAGTTTCCTTCCAATTGGTCTTGGAATTTGTCAAGGTACCAATCTGTTTGTAATCTATCATAGAAGAGAGTTACATGAGGAGGATCGGGTGGAGAG